CACATACTTTTCTGATGCCTTGGTACTAGCCTTTGCTTGACGTTTACTCTTTTGGATTTTACCAGATTTCAATTTTTCAGCACGTATAATTTCACCTCTTTTCAATATTTTAGCATAAGGATTAAGACGAATCATGACACCATTGTTACGTAATGGATTCTTCTTTTGTGTATATGGTCGTTTTGTGTGTTTCTCTCTTGCTGGCCTTAGGATTGATTGGATTTCGTTAGAGTTGATGAGACGTGTTACATCAGAATTGGATATGATATGTGGTGGTAGACTAATAATTGCACAAATAAAATTATAAATATCAATAATTGTTTTTATAATAATGATAATAGCAATAATAATAATAATTTAGTACCGATAATCCTTCTTCATAGAAGAAGATCTTCTATAGGTGCCAAACAAACAATCCAACAAAGCAAAAGCACTTCGAGACCAGATAATAAATCTACCCAAATGACCACCTGGTGCTAACTGTAATAAATTCAAACTTCTAACATTAACTACTTCAACGCCAGGAATATTACGAAATGCCTTAACAATTCCATTATCAGTATTATAAACAATAAGAGGTCCTCTACGTTGTCTGTGACGCCTATTACGCATTTTCCCCTTGCCAGCCCTCAATTTACGAGAATTGGATACTTTAGTAATATCTCGATAAGCATTAACTGCTTTAAGCAATTGGACTGCTGCTTTTGTCTTCTCCAATGATTCAATACCATCACCTATCACCAATGGAACTTCTTGAATCTCTTCAATTCTATGTCCACGTGCTAAAACTAAAGCCGGAACCGATGATGCTGCTAACGATGATGCGATGGCATATCTTTTTTGATTTAAATTGGTTTTAACATGCCACTTACGCCAAGTTTTTGTAGGTGAAAACATACGTCCTCCACGACACATATTACCAAAAGCTCCCTTAATTAATAATAATAATAATAATAATAATAAATATAATATATTAATATTAAATGAAAATTATTTATAATTTTGATTGATTATATAATGTATCATCATCAACATCATGTAATATATTATTTACCTGACCAGCACGATGTGTTCCGCCTCCAGATACACGAGGGATACGTGCTACAGCACGACCAGTACCCCAAGACTCAGCAGATGTTTGATGACCAGCCTTTGATGAGAC